ATTTTTTTCTTACCATCGGCAAAGAAGTCCCAAATCTTCTTGACGCTCACGGCAACAGGTCTTGGGAATTGTTATGGTAGTAATAGGGTTTTGGGAATTGTAATAAAGATATGTAAATAAAGGAAATTCAAAAAAGAAGAGATATCCAAAAGTATAATGGAGCCAAAAAGGTATTTATTTTTATGTGCCATGTCCGCCACAAAAATAAGTGGAACTACGTAATTTTGTGTTGAACAGAAAATTGGACACATAAAATTGGACAGATGATCCCGTCTGGTTTATGAGACCCCAGACAAGGCAAGGCCTTTAAAGTTTAAAGGCACATCATCCAATCGCTTTCTGATAATATAAGACCTAGAGAGAAACCCATATTCAACACTACTAAATTGCCAGGCCCCGAATATCTTGGTTTCTGTAAAGTAATCGCGGCTGCTATCCCTTTCATAACTCACAGTTTTTTGTATGAGTGTTTCGATAAATGGACTCTGCGAAGACACTTCAAAAGCCGGCAACTTTTGAAGTAGATGCTATCAAGTTACTAGTAATTTAATATAGTAGCAGTAGATGCTAAGTAGTAGTAGTACACCTTATTAAGTAAGTAAGTAGTAGTACTACTTCAGAAGAAAGCTCCAGCCCACGGGCGTTGAGGCTTCCTTCTTTCTGACATTTTCTTACAGAAGTAAGAATTTACGCAAATAAATCTAATCCCTACAGTAACTCCAAAAGTCGGCAACTTTTGGAGTTGAGGCTTCCTTCGTTCCACTTCTTTTAGTCTTAAAATTAATAAGGATGAAAAGAGAGATGCATGCATGTTTTGGCCAAGAGCTTCGTAAATAGATGGAACCTTTTTGTGCAGGAAATATATTCATCAAAATTCTGCTATTCCTTTTAAACCCTGAAAAAACAGGAATTGGATTTTTATTGGTTTTTGAGTGGAACGTGTGCTACATTAGATTTGAGACTCAGGTCATGCATGAGTTCCTGCTACGAGCATGGTTCGAAGTCTCGGCCGAAACCGAGACGACTCGGTACGATACCGTGATGAAACGATACCGAAATACTTGACTCGCCGAGAAATCAATCTTTAAGGGTTGAAATGGGCTGCTCAAGCCGTTAAGGGTTCTACCTTTTTTTTTTTCTTTTACTTTTTTTTTTCCTTTTCTTTACCAGTAGAGATAATCAATCAATCTGTGCTCGTTTTTTTTAAAAAATTCCACTTTTAACATAAACAAAGAAACAACCTGAAGGGAACAGAAGAGCCAGGTGATTGTTGATGGAAAAATATCCAAGACAAAAACTGGCTTTGGGCTGAAATGGAACTTTGCATTGTCAGCTCAGCTGGCTTACGTTCTTGACTGTCGTGACTTTGTTGTAGCAAATGCAGGGCACAACCACAAAATGGGAAAAAGCTCAGCAAAATCCAAAACTCGAAATCTCCAAATTGGATTAGGCATTTAAGCTGTTGTGTCCTGTTCTTCGTCCTCGCACCCCTCCCTAGTACTCCCCCCTCGTAAATAATCCTGCAATACAAAACTGTACCCAAAAAATAACCGCTGCTTCTTTCTGTTGTTCCGTAACTTCCGTTTCCGAAGTCATTACATTTCAAGAAACATCAACACTGCTTTCTGTCTGCAGCTGCAGCTTCCTCCCTCTCTCTCTCTCTCTTTCGTTGAGTTTTTTATGATATTTTCTGGTGATCTTTTATTTATTCATTTATCTTCTCTCAACTGTCTTGTCTGACGGTCTTTTTCTCAAGTGCCCTGACGCTTCTGCACTGGTCCACTGACCACAAACAGATTTTTAAAGGTCTAAGGGGAAGAGGGATGAGATGAGCAGGCATATTAAGGAGGAGGGTGTCCACTTAAAGTCATTTCACGTGCTTTTACTACAAACTTTCTCTTAAAAATCCCCAACAGCACAAACAAAAGCTACTTGATCAACCAAAGCACTCACAAAACAAATCCCACATCTCCTCGTTCTTTTTCTCATCTCTCCATGGACTTCAATCTGAAGCAATGGAGAGAACATCATCAGGGTGAGTCAGACCAAGAACACACTACGCCTTGTGCAAAGATACCAAGACTTCACCTTGATTACTCTGTTTACCCACAGCATCAGCCACCCTCAGGAGACTCGTCTGCCCTTCCATTGTTTGTTACTGAACCAACCAGTATCAGTAAGCTCAGCAGCAACCTGTCAGCGCCATACCCAAACCCCACTGATTCAACTCCCACTCCCACCAAATATCCCGGTAACGACACACACACCTCTCTCTCTCTACTTTATTAGTAGTAGCATCTTCTTTTGCGTCTCAGCTACTACTCAGGAAAGTTTTACTACTTCCCGCTAAAAAAAGTATCTTTGTTGTTTGTTGCTTCTAAGTAACCAAGTATGTACACGCATTGTTTCTCACTCTTTTTCGCTGATATTTAGTGCGATCAGGAGAAGCAGGAGGGATGGGGAGTTATTACTTTAGCTTGGCCCAGTGGCAGGAGCTTGAACTGCAGGCATTGATCTTCAGACACATGCTAGCTGGTGCTGCTGTTCCTCCCGAATTACTCCACCACCTTGTCAAGAAAACCCTCCTCAACTCTTCTCATCATCATCACCCTTATTACGCCCCTCACCACCATCGTCATCACTATCCTCCTCATTTCCAATCTGCATGTAAGTTGTCCCTACATTCTCTTACATCTGCACTCCATCAAGTCAACGTGTTTCATCTAGATGAGGTGATCTCACCTCCTCCTCCTCATGCTAAAACGTCTGTCTACACCTCGTCTTGGAATAAGGGTTCCGTCTTAAAATCTTTCGGCATTGAGATCTAGATAACGCAGAACTCCAACATCATTGCATCAACCTTTGTTAGAAAGAGGTCTTTCGTACAGTAATTAATTAGTTATATTAATAGTAGTGTTTGTAAATATTAATGTTGTCCTTTGATTATATACATATGCATTGTATTCTGGAATGTACAGTGCTGCAGTCGGGGTACTGGGGAAGAGCTTCCATGGATCCGGAGCCAGGGAGATGCCGGAGGACAGATGGCAAGAAATGGAGGTGCTCTAGAGATGTGGTGGCTGGGCAGAAGTACTGCGAGCGCCACATGCACCGTGGCCGAAACCGTTCAAGAAAGCCTGTGGAAATCCCCACTACTCGTACCGCTACCCCTGGTAATGGCGGTGCTAATGTGTGCGGCGGAATCCTGAAAAACAGCAGCTTCCTTGTTGCTCAACCCTTAGGATCTGCAATGGCTGCTGGTGGTAGTGTCGCCGGCGATACTCCTCATTCTGCAATTTCTGGGTCATCACCGTCCATTGATATTCTGCACCTCAGTCAAAGGTATTCCCTTAACACCCAGCAGCAATGAAAAATTACTTCAAAGAAGCTTCGGGCCTGATTTGGAGCCAACATTTACTACGACAAGACTGTTGACGACTCAAGTTTTTGTTCCTTGCTTCAATCTTCCCTCTGGAGATCACCGTTTCATAAGTGTGTTTTAGCTAGTCTTGAGAATACTATTCCAGAATATAATAATTAAATCACGATTGACTCTTTGATCATCTTAAAACGAGATCTAAATTCTCTCTCATCCGCTCGATCACACCTTTGTTTCCTCCTCCCTTCGTATTCTTCTCCTTCTCCTTCTCCTTCTCTTAAAGAAAACAGGCAAGCGAAACAGAGATAAACGAAAGCGGGTTCATAAAAAGTAAAAACATCAGCAGCTCCTATCAACATGGTGTTCTGTTTGGTCACGTATAGCCAATAACATAATGGATTCATTTATTATCAAATAAGAGTTGGGATAATTTCCATGAGCTAATAATTGGAATACATGTCCCCCCCCCCCCCCCCCCCCCCGAAAGGAAGAAAGTAAAGTAAAATATGCATGCTGGGGCGGCAGAATGGATGAGCTTTAGCCTTTAGGTCTGGAAATTAAAGCTGCTTTTCAGTTTTTACCCTGTCCAACTGAGAGGCGAGGAGGGTCATCTAACTCTTTTTTAAGTCAATTTACTTTGGATTGTTCTTGGCCCAATTAATATCTTTATGGCAGGACACCCTCCCTCTTTTTTTTTTTTTTTTATGGTAGGAGTAGTATTTTTCTTTTTTAAAGTCTATTTCGTTTTTTCTTTCCCTCTTTGACTCCAAATCTACACTACTGTTTTTAGTAGATCCTCAGAATCAATAGTTCGATCCCAGGATGATGTGCACGGAGATGATACTAGATCAAGTGGGCAGATACTTCGGCATTTTTTTGATGACTGGCCTCGATCACTCCAGGAATCTGACGATGGAGGAAGCAATGGGACTTCAGCCACCACTAACCTTTCAATCTCAGTTTCAGGCAACCCCACCACATCCGACTTCTCTTTGAAGCTCTCCACCGGTGATGGAGATGACACTACTGATGCTGAAAACGTAGAGTGGGAGAGAAGCCAATCAAACTGGGGTGTTACCGGTGCCTGGGGAGCAAACCAAGTGGCTCCAATGGGCGGACCACTTGCAGAGGCCTTACGATCATCAACGTCCAATTCCTCGCCAACCAGCGTTCTACATCAATTGCAACGGCGCTCTGCTTCGGAGACCAGCTACGTCAGCACTTGATACGAATTTAATTTGCATACAAATATCCTCCCATTATTATTATTATTATTATTATTGTGCTGTTTTCATTTAAGTAATTTTTTATGTCTTACCATGCTGAACACTCTGATCTGCTGTACAACATAGATCGTTGCTTTCTCTTTTTTTATTTTATTCGGGCAGATTAATATTTTGCCACGTTCTCCGCCGTCGAGCTTGGTTTCCTGAGGCTGCATCACACGAGGCCCGTTTGGCATTCCATGTTTTTTCTGATAATTGTCTTTATTCTGTTAAAACATGTCAAGCTGGTTAATAAAAGCATAAACGGGCCATATGAAGTTTTGCTTAGATACCAGAATCTTAAAAGAGGGAAGATAGAAACCACGAAATACATGACTCGGTTATTAGGAAGGGTGGAGTCAAAACGGCAGAAACCTAACAAAGGAAAGCAAATATCCCAAAATGAAAACAAAAACAGAAACATCATCCAAAAATAAAACATCCTGACGCATGGGCCTAAGGAAACATCAATACAAGACTGATGCTTGTACCACGGTCCCACCAAAAGACCCTCAAAACCAACAAGTCCAGTTTGCTATACTATGTACGAAGGTCAAACTAACAAATCGCTGCTCTCACACTCACTACCTGGCTATGCTATAAAAAGATGATTTACATGATATCTCCTGAGCTTTGCCAGTATGCCTACAATAGACTTATTAGGCTCTAAAGCTCAGCATTATTATCAGTTCCATGCCTTGAATAACTCACGTCTCCTTCGTCATATCCCCTTTCAAAGAGCAGAGCAAGAGAAATTGCCAGTCTGGCAATGGCGCTCCAAAACGACCATCTTTCACATATATCCGACTTCAAATTCGTTATTTGCCAAAACAACCACCAAGGCATTTTTCAACCAGGGCGCCGGACATTTATCCATCAATAGGCTCCTGTTCATCCTTTATTGGAGCATAGACAACTGCTGTGCGAGCAGGTGCATAAACCAAAAATGATCTAGGACGATTGTCATACCATCCTTCCTGCAAAAGGCAATGAAAAATAATACATTCCTAGCTTTATTTTCTTTCTTTGGAAAATACATCACACACATATTAAAGAGTATCGAATAAGCTTACAGATGTGAAGAACTCTGCATTGTGATCAATTCTGCTGAAACCTTCAAATAGTGGATCATCCGAGTCCAAGACTACCTGGAAACAATATTGACTTCGTTACTGGACAGTGGAACAAGTGGGACACCATTGCTATTTATGATCGATCATTCTCTGAACCCATAACACTTCAAAATTTGGTCATTCCAGTTATTCAAAACAGCTACGTTAGCAATTTACAAACCATCCAAGGAGTTTGCTTCAAAGTAAGACTACGAGGCATTCTTATTTTATCAACTTGACATATGCTGTGTATCTCTCATGTTTGAGTTACATAGATTCTATATAGCAAAGCTGCTTCAAGTTAGTTCACGATTTTCCTTATATTCTTACCATAAGCATAACCATGATCATTTCTTCAAACTGGGACCTGAATAGATATTTTTTACATTTAAAAAAAAAAAAAAAATTCAACTTTTCACCAGCCTTGCAGAACCAGCATTATTTTCTCTTCCGGATGCCAGTTCTCTATCCTTGAGTTGTTTTCTATCAACAAATAGCGTATTACTTCTTCCAGTCACAACCAGGGACAGACACCAGGAACCATGTCATTAGTCCAACCAAAGATCATGTAGGGCACATCTCAAATTTGTTGTTCAACTGGGAGATTTTATCATCTTACTCGAGTATCCTTCTTAATCTGAAATACTAATTAAGTAGTCCATTTTCACTAGAGGTAAAGCAGCATTCTTGAAAAGGTAGATCATAGACCAATGGTTAAGAAGCGAAAAAGCGAGACACTGAGCTGTGTTAGCATTAGTTGACCTAACCTTGTATTTCCCAGGCTTGAGGCATCCAATCCGGTAGTCTGAATAACTGTTATTCCAATGAAAGTTAAAGACAAAAACTAAATCTCCTCTTTCAAACACAATTACTCTATCTCCTTCATTCTTCCGTGATATATACTGGTGCTCCGAAGTCATGAACTGCATGTACAAAAAAGAGATGCCATTAACATGTAGAAATCCAAATCTAGATGCTGAAGAAGGATAAAATGCGATGTCTGGGGTACAATCATGGACTTATGCCTTGAAAATAATACTGGAATGAGAGGTCAGTGAACTAATACAACTAACAGCTAGTGGTGAGTTTTGAAATGATTGGAGTGACGTTGAAATTCATATTGACACTGATACCCTTGCTTTCAGAGCTGTTTACATATAACTACATATATGTATTAGCAGTTAAAAAGAGAGAGACAGGTATATAGGGCAAAAAGCACAACATACACCATAGATTTCTTCAAGATGCTGCATTCCCTGGTCAAACTCTTGCATTCCACGGTATCTCAAATAACCCGCATCACCCTGATTATTCAAACATGATTTATTTTTAGGCACATCTGTTAAGATATTCTGAAAGGCATACATCGAAACTTGGATTAAAAAATGGAGTACAATGTACTATTACATATGCAAGTTTCATTGGTACAATTCTTGGCAATGTATGTAGCAAATCAACAGTAAATTAAAATAACAAGAAAACTTAAAGAGAGCTTGGGTAATGCACTAAGGGTAAAGATTAAGTAGATCAGTTCACATCCTAAAGGAAAGAGAAGAGTGTTGAGTGATCTTGGCTCTCTGAACCCGTCATTAAGCCTATTCAGGAAGACCTTGGGGAATATTACATGATTTACAAGCATTTAAAGCCAGATGTAACTAATTTGACAAAAAAGCATCAACGTAAGAAGTTATGCTCCAGATGTGCTCTAAAAGACTTATTGTGAATTTTGTACGGTCAAACTAACTTGGTGCCTTTCGATTCAAAGCTAGAATTTCATGGTCACTTTAAGTGGTTTTTCCCCAATAAAACTCAATAAAATATCTCCGGCCCAAGACAGCACGTTAACAAGCAGCAGCTACTTGCATATGAAACTTTAGGGCACTTTTGTTGAACTGATAACAGTGTTTTGCCAAATCTAAAAGTAGTACCATGAGCAGCCCTATTCTACCCACACTGCCAAAAGAACCACCACTAAACAGGTTTAAGTCCAAGTTCATTCTATCACTTGCGAGGAGCAGAAAGATGCACGCCCACCTACTTCTACCTTCTCAGAGTTGGTTTTTGAACAGCAGTTTCAATTCGGTTGGCAGGCCAGGTGACAAATTTATGTTAGAGGTTACTTATTGTTCTAATTTAACAATAAAAAACTCAGTTAAACATTTCAAGGACTACCTACTGCCATCATGCTTTGTCAGCAGAAAGCTCACATGGATAACTTCAGTAAGGTCATTCTTTCCAATCTTTAGAGAAATCTTGATAAAGAGACTTTCGTAACTTCACCTACTTATTAAGATTGAGGCAGTTAATGTCTCTTTCTCAACAAATCAACTTTTGGCAAATAGCAAGTTACCCAAAGGCATCCCCACACAGAAATCTAAAATTGACTAAATTGACCTTGTCTCACTTCCAATTTAGCTGTTGTAAAAGAATCTAATACTTCCCACATAAGTTAAACAGAGATGTAATCTAAGCCTCTCAGAACTCAGCAAAGATAGACACAAGAAAATAGACCCACATGCAAGGCAAACAATAGGTACTGACTGTAGGCAAAGCTAGGGAAGAACCATACCAGATCAAATCTACGCCGGCATTTGTCAAAGCTGTTATTATTTCCAGGGACTACTTTGCCATCAGGAAGACGGTTATCAAACCTCGGAAAATCTATCCACTCTGATAAAGAAATGCAAAAATCATAATTTGCTATAAACCATGAAACAATACAAAATTCACATTATTTTCTGGACAAAATAGCATAAGTTGGAAAAACCAGATTCATTATTACCAGGGTGCCCAAATTCATTTCCCATAAAATTTAGATAGCCTTCTCCACCTAACCCCATAGTGATTAGCCTGATCATTTTGTGCAATGCTATTCCACGATCAATTAGAGGAGTTGATGGTCTATCCAATGCCATAAAATCATACATATCCTGCAAACATGAAACGGAAGGATATATGAACAATTTACGCGCAGATAGCCATAGAATTACATTGTCGGGGAAATATATACGCATCTGGTTCAAAGTCCTGGAATAACAGATTATAAAAATTTCTTTGGCCATGTTGACCACAAGAAAGTCAACCACGTTGAGCACTTAACTAGGCCCTTCCCATCAACCCAACCCTTCTGGAAATCTGATAAAGCAAAAGTCAAACTGAAGCATGCGACCAGAAGAGCAAAAGAAAGGGAAATTCATTTAGTAATTATTCGAATACTTTAACCTAAATTTGTTCCTTCCATAGATTTATTCAGCTGATGCAAATTCACTATGCTTTCAGATAGAAGAAACGCCTAATAAACTTCATGTCTAAAATGACAGAAGTCAACTTACTAACAAGGCTAGCAACCATATTAACTGAAAAAAATAACACTACTAATAAAACAAATGGGTCAATCTTAGTTTTTGGTAGAAGAAAAAAATTGACTTGGATCGGCAGAACTATCATGCAGTATGATACAAGGACAATGAGAGCAGGGCAAACCATGCCCACCACTTGTTCTCAACATAACATCCATTTTTTTGTAAATTCCATATCCTTTTGGGCATCTTTTCAAGGAAGCAAACTTCTTCAGGAAATTGAGCAACAAATCTCAATGATTCTTGGTCCCTTAATCTGATATAGACTGCACTTTATTTTTCCCTTATCTCTTCATTTTGTTCTTCTTACCTTCATTTTTCCTCCCTTTTTTTTTTTGAGGGAAGAAGGGGGGGGGGGGGAGATGAAGCGAAAGAAAGCCATTACAAGATATATCAAAATATATGTACTCAACCTTGTCCATTAACCAGAATGCAATAGTTTTATCGCCTACTAAAGCCTGGTCATGACTCTCAGCATAAGCCACACACTTCTCCAACCATCTTCTATTTGTTAGCATATGAACAACATCTCCCATTCTCCAGTCCTCATCTCTCTTCCTGTGCCACGTGAAGCAAAGCCAGAAGCTTTAAATAAGCTTGAGATGACATATAATTAAAGTCAAAACGAGCATGCTACTTAGCAACAATCACATTATCTAACTACATATAGCAAGTAGTACAAATGCTTCACATTCTTGATCAGGATAAAGATTATCTAACATAGATCACAGAAAAGTAGCATGAATATGTGCAAACAGTGCAATTTTAAAGCTGAATAAATTGATGAAAATTATCACAGGAACCTAACATCATGAGTTATTCGTATCACTTAAGAAGGCTGACAGTATTAAGCTTAAAGCAGGACAGTGTGCAAGTAGTAGTGGACTCCCAAAGTGTTTTCAAGCTCAAGGATGAGGATGGCCATCAAGGTTTTGTAGAAACAAACTATTCCACTGCAAAGCACTACAAAGAACAAGCTGAAGGTGGTCACCAAATACTGTATAAGGTCCTTGAAAACCAGAAGCATTTTGATCAGCTCAACAAGATATCTCCCTCAAAAGAAGAACTTACATATGCCAGAAAAACAAAAAAGCCTTGAACAGAACTGCAGTATTACATTCAAATAGCAAGCATTTGAAAGCATAAACTGGAGTATTGTTAAGATTAACCTTATATTCAAATGACAAATGTGCCATTGGCAGTTTTCCCAAAAATTTAGAGGATGCTCATGTAAATCCTACAGTTAAATCTTTATATGACCTCAAGGTAGAAATGATTCATTATGTCGAATAACCTTTTGATTCTTTTAAGCTAAGCACTAACAGCAAAAAATGCAGCCTATTTCAATATCTATAAAGCATTACTAGTATTTGAACTTCTAGGGGTAACATACTTGAGCAACTCAATCCACTTATCAGCAATAGCCATGTGAAGGCGATAGTCAAATCCAACCCCACCATCCTGAATGGGAATGCAGAATGTTGGCATGCCACTGACCTGAGATAAGAAAACAGATCAGCAATGCAGTATCCAGACTTGTAAGGACTAGAACGGTAGCTATGTAATGTAATAGGAATGTTTAGTACAAGCTAGCTTAATAATCAACATCAAAATCAGCTAAAAAGAGAACCAAACAACAAGATGGTTTACTGTCAACAGATTTTTGTACAACAAAATAAACATTCCTGGTATGTTGGAGTCAAGCAATACTGCTGGATTTTATTATTGAACTCAACTGACAAAAGATCTGATGCATACAAATCATTAAAGTATCAAATTCAGGAGGATTGTGAACCTTGATGTGCAAGAAGTAAGAGAATCTAGAGGCATCTGGCTGAATATTGCCAGAGAATGATGCTTCATATGAATTCAAGTGCTAAGGAACCTTCCACACACTGTTTCATTAGAGTTACGAGAAATTATGATGACATAAGTTCATAAGTTTCTCATAAGCATACTTATTCTGTTCTAGAGAATATGGTACCCCAGAAATCAAAGAGGATAGATAACGAGCTTTCTTTGTTATTATTTTTTATTCTCCTGAGGTAGCAAGAAATGGAAATGGACTTGCCCAAGTAGTAGGTGTGACAGATGAGTGCAGTTGAAAAAATAGAATCATGAAGATTCTCATGACTGCAAACAATTTCAGCAAGTTAGGGGCCCCGGGACATTAAATCTGCTCTTCACCTGTAAAGGCATCATGACTGATCCACTTATCACTTTCCTTTCTCCTAGGACTAAAGTTTACAAAGTATCGTTGTTAGATTTAAAAATAAAAATAAAAAAATCCACATTACAAGAAAAGGTCCAAGCATCAATCTACATTGATGCGCTGGAAAAGTCAAAACTTAGAAGCTATTCCATGAATTCCAGACAGAGGATGGTTATGGTGGACCGTGACAGACATGCTGCACAAGAAATCTGAAAGAATTCTTGTGAACCAGGTATAACATCAAGACACCTTGACAGTAATATTGGTTGCATATTGAAGAAGCCAACCTTTATTACTTCTATAATTAAGATAATTCTTATAGTGCCCACCACTATATGAACAGTGAACCTCATCTCACAGATGAGAAAATTGTTTACTATTTGCTCTTTCCCTTTTTGGTCTGTTTCTCCCCTTTTCTACTCTATTTGAAACTACACCTTACCTTTTCTTTCTCCACATTTCGCAGATGTTATTGTTGTTGACTTCAACCTCTAACATAGTATTCTTCCCCCCTCCCCCCCCCCCGGGGGTTAAAGACCTGCTTATTTCTTATTGTACAAAGACCCAAGCATCCACATATATAAGATTCTTAAATCCAGTAAAAGCAGAACAATTAACTGATGGAAACTAATATCACATCTAAAACAATCGCCAAATTTACAAGCATAATAAACATATATACATACATCTTCACCAATGGTAATAGCTTCAGGAAAGAGCCCATGAATGAGATCATTTGCAAGCATCAAATAGACCACTGCATCAACATCAGTTGCATATCCAAAATACTCATTGTAGTTCCCAGTAAATCCAACCTAATAAAGTGAAACAATGTCAGATAAAGTAGTGATATACTGGTAAAGAAATTTATCTGCATGGGTTTCTGCCACAAAAGATCATGGAACTGTGATCATGGAAAACCCCAAATGAAGAATAGGTCTGCATATACAAGGTATGAAAAACACAAAATGATGGGACAATATGTTGTGCACATGTCCAGCAGACAAGACCAAACCCTGCTTATTTTGATTTGGCAACCTAAAACAATTACAGTAACATTGGCTCATCAAATGATTGATGTGAAGTTATCCTACTCAAATAATTGCATAAATACATGAAAGAAATCAAAGGCAGTTAACACATCCACCTTTCCAATGAAATAAAGCAGGAGAAAGAGGAGAATAAGTGGCTAAGGATATGACTGTAGGACAAAGAGCACAGTCACCGGATTCTAGATATCTTTCTACAAATACAACCATATTTCAGGGGCATCAAGGAGTAGTCCTAAACACTTTTGAAGGGGCAGCATTTAATAAAAATCATGATGTTATAGATAATGATATCGTAGCCAAAGCATCGTATATACACATGCCTGCAAGCCATGATGAGTGTACATCATCGAAGTCACACCATCAAATCTGAAGCCGTCGAACTTGTATTGGTCCAACCACCATCTTGCATTTGAGAGAAGATACCTTATCACCTATAACAGAAGATGATTTGATGCAAACCTCAAAACTAGCTTTTCTTAGGGGGCAAAAAGGACACATATTTCACGCAAATGAATCCAAAATGGCAAGATGGCACATACTTCCCAGTGTCCATAGTTAAAGAGACGAGAATCCCACATCCAGTGATAACCCCTCGAGCCAGAGTGGAAATAACAACTATCAGTGCCATCAAACATGTTTAGCCCATCCAAAGTATTATTTGACGCATGGCTAAACAAAAAAGCAACTTCTAGTTAGATTCCTTCAGGTAAAAATATAAATACTAGCATTTAAGTTGCAAAAATAACAGTTGGATAAAGGAAGAAAGCCTGTTAGATGTCAAACACCAGAGACAAATGTATTGCGAGTTTACTTGAATTCAAACAAACAACCTAAAACTGCCCAGCCCTGAAAAAACCATTTCCGTTTTCCTAAGAAAAGAGTTTCGCTGACAACTTCAAATTGTACCTTACATGTAGAGGCAAAAGGGACATGGTGTACCAAACCATCCAATGGACAAAAAAGAGAAACCATAAGACGTCAACAATAACGCAATGAAACAAAGATCATAAACACTACCTGTTCAAAACCAGTTGAGAGCATCCTTAACCATAATCCAAGATAATTAGCCTCTTAGAAGACCAAATGGCTCTTGCCAGATTGGAAAAGAACAATAAAATTACTTGCTTCTCTAAAATACACATTTTGGTGCACAATGACCTCGTAATTTCTACACTGATCGAGGGAAGGTTTATGAGAAACGAGACTGAAGTAAAGAAAAGTGAAACTAATTTCTTCTGTAAATAATTCTGCAACTTGTACTTACTAAGATATTCTGTTAGAAGTAACTTTTTCTGTCAAAATTTGAAAGACACAAATGTATGACTTCCTCACGAAACAAAAACCCAATAAAAAATTTACTAACATTCCCACAATTCCCTTTGCAATCAAACACTACATAAGCAAAGCAAAACCTTCTACAATTCAAAGGTGCAAGGTAACCTATATTTCAATAAGTATAAGCTTAGCCATCCAAGTGAAACAAGTGGAATTGTTTTTTGATCAATTAGACAACATCCAAAATTTGAGATATCATGTTCCAGTACAGCATAATATGATAGTAAATGACTTGGAGAGAAAGCTTCTGCTTTTCAAAATTCAAATGCATTGTGCCTTTTTTTTGTTGAAGGGTATAATGGAAGTGCAAAAGTAAGGTTATAAAGGGTGGTTTAACAGTTCAATAATACAAGTTCTTATTTATGTTTATTCTTCATATCTGAGTCAATACTGGTAGCTACATTATCAAAAGCGAAAAGATATTAACACAACACAACAAAGCACAAAGTGGATACTTAATCAACCAAAATGGTATTTCTGTGAGCAAAACACAAATTCCAAATGAACAATGTTCTCTCTTCTTTCCTTTTCTTTTTTTGTTTGTTTGTTTGGGGGGGGGGGGGGGGGGGAGGAGGAGGAGGAGAAGAAAGATCAGAGAAAGAAATATTATTATTCTCTAGGAGAAAATCTTATTATAAATCAAATGAAGATGCAAAAGGGTCAATTCAAGTCTGACGAAGTCTGCTCGGGAAATCAATGTGCAAGTCTTACCTGTGCACAATATCCATCAGAACAATCAAACCAAGCTCATGTGCTTTATCGATCAAAGATTTAAGATCATCTGGAGTCCCACAACGGCTGCTAGGTGCAAAGAAATTTGTGACATGATAACTGCAGCATATGAATAAAAGAAAGACAATATCCCCTTAGAGTGAAAATCAAACTATCAAACATCCAAGAGCACTGCTGCAAATCACCATAAAAGACAAAGTAAAATTGCACCACAGCTGCAGGATATTTTTGCACAAATATGTACTGAACAAACCAAATAGAACAAAAGAATTACCCAAAGCTAGCATAATATGAATGCTCTTGGATAGCCATGATCTGAACAGCATTATAACCAAGCCTCTTGATACGGGGAAGCACATCATCCCTGAAGTTTGCGTAGGTATTTATGATAGGTTCCTGCATTCACGAAGTCGATAACATTGTTAGGACGAGAAGGAAAATACAACTAATTGAGAACTATTCTGACATCTAAATAGGAGCAACATTAGTCATCTCCTCCCCAAGTGATGCCAGAAGAAAACAGAACAATTATACACCAAATTCTTATATGATCGAAAAGTTGCAAATGCCACCTAATAGTCCACGGTGAGAACACTAGTTCAGAGTGAACATCAGTTGCAATCTACCCTTAACCTCATACATTTAGGATCCCATTAACATACTACTAAAAAAAGAGCTGAAGCCAAACAGAGTAATTCTTCTTGGAGTCAAGATTTCAATGTTCTGTGTTCATAAATGATTTGCAAAATTTGTATCAATACTTGGTGGCCCATAGAATCCACACTCCCACTAAGGCTTCTCCAAAAATAGAAAGAGTCATATACAATACAACACAATAAAATGCATTTTGTTCACAAAAATTATTCACTTTCCACTGTCAATTAACACATCTGAATCATGGATACAATTCAGCGGAGCCAAATATCTTTATCACTTTATTTATAGCCATATAGTTGCCTATCAGCTGCCACAGTTCCCCTTAGGTTTTCAATTATAGGAGAAAACGGACCACTACCATCATTTTATGGAAAGCTTGTACATACAGGTTCATAGCTCAATAAACATCTTGACTCACAAGATAATAGCAATCAGAGAAAATAAGAAAAATTTAATCATTACATAAGAGAGGAGGGATCTCACACTGTACTACTCATTCCAACATGAGCCTCATATATCCTGAGTGATTTTGGTCTTTTAGGCCGAGGATGCTTGAATACATACTTTTCCTGTTGAAATACATTATCAAAAGTTATGAGCATGAGAGGTCAATAAGTAGAATTGATTTAAGTTAAAAAAAATATAAAAAAGTCATTCTGGTTAAAAGCAAAAACGTCCAGTTTATAAGATAAGTATGATGTATTTCTTAAAAATTAAATAAGCTGCAAGTTTATGGTATTATAAACAAAGGAAAGGCAAAAGGCATTTGAAAGCACAAGTAAATCATCCTAAAAAGTTATAAGGCATTATAACAATATGCCTAGCTGGACAATATCTAAATGTAAACCATTTTTCATTTCGATAACCATGAAACCTCCTAAACCACAAGTTTACCACTTAGGCAGTAAAAAAATAATAAGGCAAAAAAGTACCTCTTCTGGAGGATCGTAGTATATCCCATCATATGGAATTTCACCAGGAGCCTGAACAGCAAACTTAATCCATGCTGGAATCGAGTCTTTAAGGCCAGATGGAGTATCCATACGTACCTAAATTTGGAAAATGCAAAATAATATTATCTGGACAGTAGCCCAATTGCATTTCTACGAATTGACAATATAAGTGCTCAACTACTCCATACAAGGGAAACAGACAACGGGACGCTATTTTGCTTTAGTTTTAGGAAGGGGGATAGAAGGGGAGATGCAATTAGTGCATATATATAATAATTCCACAGTGATAATCAGGCAACAAGTTCACAAGCCAAAACTGTCAACCTGCTAGTAGCAGTTAAGTTACACTAGTTAATATGGCATGCAATACTGTCAGTGTCATGTAACATGTATGACATAGAAATTCCCCGAGAAACCTAACCTTGAGCAATTGCTAAGACTAATTTCATCATCTGTCAAACTGTTAGAAGCCGTTAAGTTACAGTAGCAAACATGGCAAGGAATATGGTCACAGCCATGTTAGAAGGGATGACTCAGAAATCCTCCAAAAAACCTATCGTTCAGAAATTGCTAAGACCACTCTCATCAGGGCATCCCAATTTGAAACTTATAAAGCCTTCCGTTCCTTACATGAATATTTCAGCAACAAATCAGCTAAGACAATTACCATTAGCATATAGAACAGATATTGCATACTTAGAACAATCAAAGCAAGTAATGAGCTCTATGGAGTAAACTAAATCAATGAAGCAAAAAGAGAACAAATCTTGGACAGCATTAGTAAGCTTCAAGAGTGAATGAAAAACAAAGCATTTAACACAACATAGCATTTCCATAGCCATTACTTTCACTAGCTCAAGGATGACATAATAAAGTTTCACATGGATAACAACAGTGGAATAATTAATGCAGTTGGAGGAGGAGCCTAAATTGGTTTGCAGTTACTCCCTTTGTCTCAAAAAGTTTGTCACTTTTCAGAACATGTGCTTTTTAAGAATAGTGTATTTGAATGGATGAATTGTGCTTTGTTCACAAATTCTATGCTTGTTTGATACTGGCACTTTTAGAACCTTTTCAGTTAAAATCAGGTGATGAAAAGCAAACTTGGGCCTGCAGTAGTTTGTTATGTTTCCCAAATGCCTAGTGCATGCTTTTCACACCCCAACCAAATAAACATGTGTCAACCATGCATGCTTTTGCAACAGGTAAACATTTGAATGATAACTGCAAACTCCAAGGCCCACAATGATGATGTAAGGTGACAACTGAATGCAAGGGCAGAGAGAGAAATGGTGGGAAAACTTGTTTGCCAAATTTAGTATGTGACATTCATTCTGGGACAAGCCAAAAAGGAAAGCATGACATTATCAATGGGATGGAGGGAACACAATTTATGGTATTGTACATGTAACACCATGCATCTACTGCATACCTATTTTCAGGGATTAGCATTCTAATTGGATCAGCACTGACTAGGGCAAAAGACATGTCAATATATCTCAATAACAGGCTTGTTTGTTGTAAACAAAAATGTATTCATGGTTTTACATGTCAAAATGTTCTCAATAACAGGCTCATGCAAGACTTTCTCTTCTACGATTGGTTAGATTATCAAGCTTAGAAGCTATCACAAGCTTCAGTTTGGTACGTGTTCAACAGGTATAACTTCCTTTAACATGGTGGACTGCTCCAATTACAGTTGTGACCAAAAAAATTCTGTGATATATTCCACAATCCACTTCTGCAAGTTGAAGCAGTTGGCAAAGGGAAATAGGCAAGTGAATATAAAATTTAAAAATAAAATAAAAACCTCAATGACAAAAACCCAGGTGTCCTGCCTCTAATGTATCCAGGAATCACCTTTACACGAGAGCCATGGGGAATTGGGGGCGACCCATCAGCATTGTTTGGCAAAAAGATCTCCCAAACGCCAAATTCATTCTGTATAAAAATAATCAATAAGTGCCATGTTCCATTAGAAGATTCAACAAAACTAAATTATAACAAATGAAGGAGAAAATCTTGCATGTTATTGGGATAAGTATCTTGCATGCTATTGGAATAGGTATGCCAATTTTACATTGCATATCATAGTATGCTAAGGAAATATGCAAGTCAGAATTTTTCTGCTCGAACGCAAGCATTTTAACAGAGAGGGAAACCTCCTTCACATGGAAAGACATATCCATCCTTCACTGAGAGTTAAAATAACAAGGGATAATTTCAGAAACCTCCCGAGAATGTTAACAATTGCAGTCCCTCCCTTGGGATTTGAAAAATTACTGAAACCTCCCCTAGAAAGTATGTTTGGTAACAAATGGTGATGCAAGCACAAAACATCCAATGAATATCCTATTTCACCCCTATTTGATTTACAAAACAAATTGAATGATAAAAGAAATCAAATATCAGCATTACTTGTTAAGTAAAAAAATTTAAGGTAGTTCTTTATAGCAAAATTTAGGCCATGCTTTAAGGCATTATTTTTTAATGTTTGGATTTCTTTTTTTTTTTTTTTGGGTGCTAAGTAAGTAGTGAAGAAACTGTTTTTAACAAATGCATCCCTACTAGTCAACTATTTATAAAACTAAGAAAGAAGTCCAATTAAATGACCTAGGAATTGAATATAATGTATTAAGTGAAATGAGGTGAGAGTTTTTGAATAAAGAAATATTTGCAAAATGTGGTTTTCTTTTTTCTTTACACCCACTTATACTTAGGATTTGTAGAGTTGTCAAGGCTATTATAGTCTTTTCATAACACTAAGGGAGGTAAGTGTAATTTTTTAAACCTCAAGGGAGGTGGCTGCAATTGTTAGAAACCTCAGGGGAGGTTTATGAAATTATCCCAAATAATAATTTGATTTTCAAAATACCCCTCAAATTTGATAAAGGGTTTTCATTGCTCCATCAGTACCTCAGTTTTAAGTGAACAAAAATAGATGACTGTTTAGTCACTTTTCCCTACCGGTATGAGGGGGAATCAAAACCTACTACTGATGGATTGTGCTAAACATCGCTATACAAAGCTCACTGAGATCTGTTCACTAGCATGGGTCGCCAATATACACCATTGATATTCACAAGCATACCCCATCCGAAGATCTTAAGACTCATATATTATCATGTCACAATCAGGTCACCACACAGGACATCATTACAGGTCACCACACAGGACATCATTACCTTTATCAATACAAACAACAGTGGCATCACACAGATCACAATTGTCCAAAACAGGACTACAGCATGCTAAACAAATATATGAAGAGCAATAAGATATACAAAGTAATTAGCATACCTGAGTCATGACATCAGCATTAGGATTCCAATTGTTGAAATCTCCAATTAGTGTTGCCCACTGCAAGCATCATAAAGTAAGGAACTGACAACTCAAAAATGAAATCCAACAAGTTACGCAAAAAAGGTTCGATTTTTTCATGACATTTAATGAATTAAAAAATACTCTATCTAGTGCTGCTTGCCTATGTATTTGCCATTGTTAACATAACATGGCCATAAATTGTCAACACTTTTCTTCCCTCATTTAGAAAGTCAGAAACAGTTTAATAGCTGGCATTTGTTGGGAATCAGCAAGATGATTTAATGGACAAGTAATCATGAAGAAAAAGAAAACATTTAGTCAAATAGACCATATTGGACAGCACATAAGAAGAATAATCAGATACATAGCAAGAAAACTAGCCAAGCTAGATTAAAACTTGTAACTTTACCCTGATTAGTCAGAACTTTCACATATACACTACTTCATTAGACTTGTCGTTCAACTGCATTAAAAGGCTATGCCAGCACAAAGCTCCCACTATTTCAGGTGCTAGGAAGAGAAATGAAACCTCACACAACATGCAGAGACCACTTTATATGCTTCACAAAACCCGAGGCAAATCTAAGTATCCACCATGCATCCTAATTTTACTTGGTTAAACAAGTAATAATCTGGCAGATGGAGAGGATGAAGTTCAATGCATTAGGATTCAATAAGCATTATTTGTTGTAGAAGACGCATTGAAGCCGATATATCCATAATCAAATGAAATGCATCCATGAACCAAAATGGAAACATTATTTTCTTCCCAGCACCACATCCTAGATAAAAAATTCAATGAAAGATGAACAGGAGAGATATTCCAAAAAACAAAAAAGTTAGTTCCCAGCAATTTAAACTGCAATCCACCAACCATAAACATCTATTGACATGCTTTTATGCAAATAAACAGCTTTTCCTGTAAGGTTTCAAAATAAGATTTGAAAAGGCAGAGCAGCACATATTGACAGAGATAAAGAATCTAAGGTAAACTGTAGGGACTTTGGCTATTGCAAAGAGAGTACAAAGGACACAAACCTTGGCTCCAGGAGCCCACTCCCTGTAAGTGATTCCTGTGGCACTGGAAACACAATAAAATAAGAACCTCAACCTTTTCACTGTAACCATGAAAAAATGTTCTTCAAGACATTAAAATAGCATAAACAACATAAACTTCTGGATTGGACATAGGAAACAGCTTGAGTAGAAGGAACATAAACTGAACACAAGAATGCACAGAATCAGTAGTCTAGACTCCCTTGTACACAAATTTAAGCAATCATCAGGACTCTAAATGATGTTCCCAGACAACATGAAGATTTTCTACCCATGTTTAAGAGGCATCGTAATTAGGTTAAGGTACAAATTCAGTTTTCCCAAATAGGACCAACCTACGACAGGCAAGTAACCTTCCCATGCCACAGGGTCCAAAGGCTTTCTACTAGTTACCTATACTTAAAGATGCAAAACGATGTCCAAGGGCATCAGAGCAAGAGGCGCCATCTCTCAAATTGAATTCTATCTGATTGCTCAACAGGAGTACACATTCGACAGCCAAGTACGATCATTAATTACTCAATAATATTGTGACACAAATAACATGTAACAAAGGCAAAGGCGTCAAAAGCAGGCATATTGGTTCCACCTTATCTCTAGGATGGTAAACATCAAGGTGTGCAAGAACTTTTAAAGGATAATCTAGGTAGCACAGTAATACATCAGGAGAAATACCTGCGAGTGAAACCAAATTTCTCGTAACCACGAGAAAATGCTTCTAAACCACCCTCATACTTGTCTATTGCGTCTCTCAGTTTACGGTACTGACCATACCTTTGATTGGACACCACATCAGGCCACAGTTCAGGACAAAAGAAGCATTAACAAAACAAACTAAAATAGGCAAAATCTTTAGTTTAGTAGGCAATAACTCAAGTGTGTCCAATAAAATTGAGATTTAGATATGAAAGGAAAAAACTAAAATCTAAGAGAATGTATCACATTCCACAGTGCACAAAAGAAGCTGAAAATTGGAAGGCAAAAAGACAATTTGTGCCAACTATTTAGTGGATTTGTTCTCTCTTACTTTAACTAAGAGAAAGTAACAAAAAATAAAAGACACATTTACTCAAGGCAAAGAGGGGGAAAAAGAAAATTTTCAAATTAAAACTTGCTAAATTAGTTACATAACAGAAACCAACAGAAGATTTCAGAAAAGAACTCTTTCTGTTTTATGATTTTCTAATAACCGGAAAAGGGATGAGACATTACAGCTTCAAAGGTAGAATAGATAGATTTTAATTCCACAAACATCATTAGGGATGAGATAAGAGGACAATCTGCACTGATAAAGCCAATTCCTAGTAATAATATATGGTCAATAAAACAACAAAGTGAATCTTAAATGATTGGGAAAGTAAACTTTTAAAATGCACAACTTTAAGTATTTCCCCACATTTAAGCCCACCCAACCCATCCTTGTAAGGGAAATGTAATATAGTTTCGTGCCACAGTCCTACAAAAAGTATTAGAGATAACCAGCAAGGTATGGAACCATAAGACCATCAACACAGAAAGAATTTAACTAATAAACAATAGTCTTTTTTTGTTGATTGACTTCAAGGGAATTTGGAAACTCATTTTTCACTGAATCTCCAAAAAAGTTTTGCTGCATGCATGATTCAGGGGGCTGAGAGACATCTTACACGATACAAAAGAAACAACTAACTTCCGGGATAACAGTCTACTTCAACAAGAATAAAAAACATAGACTAAGTCCAGGTATTTGGCATATTGAAGGATCCACATGCTTAAACTAGAGAAAATGATGAAAAACAACGACAGAGAGTGGAGGGATAATGGGACTAGCATTCCAACCTGTAGTCAAGATGACCACTAAAATTTCTCAAAAGAGGATCTATCTCGTATATCCTCTGCCCATTTCCAGGTGGAGGAATGGTTCTTTTTCTGACTTGTTCTGATTCTCTACTAATCATCTCCTCCACTTCCGAATCTGTTAAACCTTTCACCTTTTCATCTTCATGTACAGGCAATGAAGATGCAGAATCTTGCACTTCATCACCTTCACCATACCCACCTGTGTGGTCAATATAATTCTCCTCACCTTCAATTTCACTTTCATTTCCCATCTTTGAAGCGTCAATAGAAGCCTGAAACAAAGTGCAAAGTCAAAATACAAATACCAATGAAGCAGGAAATAAAATATGAGAACTTTGTTTATCAAAACAAAAAAAGTCAGGATTTAAGGACATTGATGAGCACAAGTTTGAAGTGCAAATGCAGCCTTTACATGGGAACTTTGAGGAGAAATGGGAGAGAGAGAGGAAGAAGACAAAACGGTAGAAGAAAGGATCTAGTTACATGAAACATAATACAAGTGCGCTGCAAAACAGAAAGACAAAGGCTTTCCAAGAAATTAGTTAGAAAAACTTCCCTACTACACAGTACAAAAACTAGATATAATCTACAAAAGCAACAACACAATTACGACTCCCAATGCAGGTTACTAAAAGACTATGCATCCAATCAGTGAGGCAGAATAAACAAGTAAAACAAATGCAAGGAAAGAATTTCAAGAGACTCTCTATTTCATAACAAATTCAAGTTAACAAACACAAAATTAGATCACAATAGCAAAAGTATGAGATTATTAACATTCATTAAACAGCATCGAACTCATTCCCACCTAAAATATTACACACTTATGAACCCTGAATAACACAATTCAGCCTTTTCAACACTATAAAGGTGAGATATACATTGCAAACAAGAAAAGAGTCCTGCACTAATGACTTGAATAAAAGAAAACTGTTTTTTCTTCTTTTAAGCATGTTAGCATTATTAGTATAAGCTTTGTATAACCTATTTCATTATCCTTTCTGTAATTTGCATAAAAAATTTTCTCGAACATTTGTTGATCCACATCCATGACATATGATATATGCATCAACATCTTGATACTTTGGGCCTGAACATGATTTCAATGTTTTTCTAGCATGCATTGCTCAACATGGATAATATCATGACTACATACCTGAGGATCTTCTAAAACCGTCTGAAGAACCTCTGATGGCTCTTTTGATGATGAGGAATCATCAACGTTGCTGCCTGGAACAAGAATCTTCCCGGATGCAGCAACTGTAGAGGAAGGGGATTCAGAGTCAAAAGCCAACCTGCTAGCAAGGTTCTTCCCTAGAAAAGAACATCACAACAGCTACAACTTTACCCCATCTTGGAAAGCATAATGGTGTACATAAAATGAACCAAATGTACAGAAAAAGCGGAAAAGTCTTCTTTAAGTGGTGGTCCAAAAGAAATAAACCAATCCATTCAGGTAGTAAGTTGGGAAGGTTTCCTAGAAGTAAACACTTCAGCCGAATTAACCCCTTTGTGCCCTCAAGGCAAAAGGGTTCTTTCAACTAAAAAAATACCTGGCAGAAAATACTCAACTTTACCTCATCATATGCATAATGTTGCTCTTCTACTTTTCAGACAGCAATCTAAATCTAGTTCAAGGTTTTTCCCTTGAAAATCAATGTCAATTGAACTCTAACACCAATACAGCCCTTCACATCTTAATACTGCATTTCCTTAACGCTACCACCAATTCGTTACAAGATATTGTATGTGTAACCCAAGACTATTAAATGCTTAAGTGATATCAAAACGTCAATGGACCTTCAATTCAGTCAAATACCAGACTAAACGTTGGGGTTGACAGAGTAAAATCCTTGTCAGAGCAACACTCAAAAATCAAAAATAAAATAAAATAAAATAAAGGAAAAGGCGGAAGTAATCCGCATCGCACACTGCGTCGCAACAAATAATTTATAATTGAGACAAAAATAAAGGAAACCGTGTACGAAAAAAGCCACACGGACCTTCACGCGTTCCATTTACAACTATTCATTCGCCAAAAACAGACCCAACAAGTCTAACACCACAGGCAAAACACTACAAATAAAAACAAAAACACTCAATCCGACATACCCATAAGAAGTACATAGAAATAGAGAGAGAGAGAGAAAAAAGAAGCGAGAGTTTACGTGAAGAAGAGCGGTTTCTCAAGAAGAAAGAAAGATGATCAATCTTCCGGTCAGCATTAAAACTCGCTCGAACCGACTTGTTCAGTGACGACGAAGACGGAACAGTGGGAAAGCGGACTCCTGATAACGAGTACACCATTTTTTTTTTTTCCTCTCCAGCAATATAATTTTAGGGTTTATTACTTGGTCCGGCAAAAAGCTGTAGATCTATTGCTCGTGGAAGTGACACTAGTGCTACTTTAATCTACTACCAGCGCCCGAGAGAACCGTGAAAAACCTCTATTAGCATTAGTAGCAGTAGACGTAAGAGGTGGATGGTGATGGGATTTTGAGTGATAATTGAGTACTTCCAAAACTTGAGTGTAGGAGCCAGCAATAATACGTGTATATGTGTGAGATGTTGCAGCCAGCATGCATGGGGATATGGGGCGTGGGGTCCAGTTAGACTCCTCTTCAATATCCTGGATCGTCAATTCAATTGCTGACGACTTGAAACTGAAATTCGCCATGGGCCTCCCCCACTGCACGTGGCCGTGGGTGGGCAGGGCATGAATCTCCAAAAAGATCAGGAACGAAAGGCTACCATCTCTAGTCTTTACTTTTTCATTTACTGCTTGATTTCTAGAGAAAGGTTCTTTTTGCAATTTGCACTTTTGTGGCCACGAACCGGCTGGCAGCAAAGTTTTGGGTATAAGGATAATTTTAAAAACCTCCCCTAAGGTTTTTGCCTATTTCACTTAATTTCCTCAAATTTTTAAAAATATACTTTCCTCCCTTAATTTGATACTTCTAACCAAACCTTGGAATAGTCAAAATTTTAATGAATATTCTAAAATGCCTTTATCTTACAAAATCTAAATTATTTTTCTAAACAATTATAAAGTAACTTAACACAATTGTAAAATTAATGAATGTCAAATTTCTTATGCCAATATTTGTAATTTGATAACCAACTACAACAATGAATATATCGCTATAGTATGCTACTTTTTATACTTTATTGGGGATATAGATTATTTTTAAAATAAAGAATAATGTGTTATCTTGATTTTTTTTTTTTTTTAGTTTGTAGATTAGTTCACTGATGAAACTATCATAGTTTGGTAGTAATTTTGGACCATTATTTTAGGCTATTATTGATTTATTCCTAATTTTGATTAAAAAAAGAGTTGCAAAAAAATTAGATGATATTAAAATTTATAAAAAATAAAGATACTAGTTTCACATTTGACCTAGATAAAGGTTAAGATAACATAGTTTGTCATATTTTCTAATGAAATATAAAGAGAAATGAATAAAAATGGAAAGGAAAAAATTATAAAACTCATTCGCTATATAAGCATAGCAAGTAATGGAGTTTTATTAGAATGTTATGGTTGATATTGTTATTTTAAATAGATAAGGGAGCTATGTGTAATTTTGAACCTTTAAAAGTATTAAGTGAAATTATTAGAAACTTCAGGAGAAGTTTCTGAAATTATCTCTTTAGAATATTCTCTTATCAATCCTATATTATTTTCCGCAACCTGAAATTGGAAATAAAATATCCGAACTGATAACGATTTAATACCGAATATTTCTAACGGGTGCACGCGTTATATTTGAAATTTCTCTACCTCGGTGCGCAAATGCCATGACTAGGCGCCTCATCTCAGGTGAACGGTACTTGTCAATTTTCCTTTTAAAGAAAGAACGCACACGTGTGACATAAGCTCAGTACATTAGACAAGTGTCGCATAAGATGGACCGTTGCTAAACAACTATTAATCTTTTCAGAGTAGTTGGTCAGGAAGGTTAAGGTTCCTTACATCTGTACGCACTCATTTGGTCCCACGGTGGTGTCACTCACTTAGTATAGGTTATAGGTTAAAGTAGAAGTATATATACACTTAGTGGGGTTTCCTATCCCACATCGAAATGAGGGGTTGGGTTTTTGGGTTTATAAGTCCCCGGATGCCTTCAAAAGTTGTCGGCTTTTGAAGGTTGTTCGGGGATTAGGTTTATTAATTCAAAAAGTCTGAGTTTCTCAGTTTTAGATAAAAAAAAAAGAAGTATATATACACAGTGACAATAGAAAAAAAAAATAAAAAAGATGGACCCTTACTTTAATGCACCCGTACATACCCATATGATCCGATAATGGTGTCATCCACTTAGTATAGGTTAGAGTATGAGTTGGCATAAATTGTGAAACTAGACCCAAAAAAAAAAAAAGGATGGATCCTTACTTTGGATTAATGAATGTATTCATTTCCACAATTTTCCTCAAACTTAGTATTAAAGTTTCTTAAAAAAAAAAAAGAACGCCTGACATTAAAGATAGCTCGTTGAAAAGAACATGTATATATTCATGCGGCAAACATATAAACGCGGGACAAATGGGGTAATAAAAATGTTACAAATATTAAAATAATATATCTTATATACACTGATAGTGTTTACACTATCACTGTGAGTTTGATGTACAATACATGGGTAAAATTCGAGTTTCAAATTCAAATTCAAATTATGTATTATATATCAAATTGTGAAAATACATACACTGATTAATTCATATTAAAATGCCATGGTTTTTCTAGGTTGGCTTAATAGCCAACTTCCACAACTGAATAAAAAAGTTAAAAGAAAACAGCTACGGAGCACGCATAATCAATTTAATTTTTACGAAACACTAATAGCATATGATTTCATATTTAAGACTATTCATAATTGGGATTATACGTAAATTTGAACCGCACTTTGTTCATTTACTCTAGTGTCTATAACTCATATATTGTTTAGATATTTATTTTGCAAAAAACTTTTTATATTTTTCATGGATATTCATTTTACACATTTTCAATTACCATTTTACTTCATATACATCACACTGATTTACATTCAAAAAATTACTTCAGTAACTTTTCCCAAAAACTTTTTCAAAAATACAATCCAAGCAAGATTTGCCAAACTTCCGCAATAGCTCTTTTTTAAAAATAAAAATCCCCATCTCATGCATATAACAAAATACATTAACATGCTTTAAAAAAAAACATTCAAATGAATTCACTACATAACAAGTACTTACAACGATGATAAAGATAAAAAATATTGTATCAAAACTTGAACGTGTTACAAGTTTCAATAAGTATCTGTCTACATTTCACAAAAAAAAAGAGATAAAAATTTTGATTTTGAGTAATATCACAAGATTACTTGCACAATTACTGGTGTACAAAACTAGTTAAATTCTTACGTCCTTATCTTAATATTCTTTCCATTTGCAGCCAAAAATATGATTTATTTCACACATTTGATAAGTTCAACTTCGCATCTTGAATGAAAACATGATGTAGTATCTGTGATCAGTATTTTATTTGCTTTTGGATATGGCATGCACCTTAGGATGGTTTGGCTTGTCTTGCGCTAAGTTGCTCACCATTTGTCATTTATCAAAGCCTATGCATTCTCATTCAACACATTAATCAAACTTTGCCATGACAAATATTCAAATTAAAAATTTTAATGCATTTTCCTTGCTTTTCGTCAATAAAAGTTTCAATGATTTCAAATCTGGTGTTGCGTTTTCCTTTCATTTATTAACTCAACTCGTCTGGACTCATAAATGTGGAAGTATCCAGTCCAAAAACAACGAAAATGAGAAAACTATAACGCACAAATAATATTGTAAGGCCCAGGCCCATTTTACGACGCGATCAAATCTTCGAAAATCAAGCCCAAGATGGTTGTAGCGCCTACTGGCTAGCATCGGTCACAAGCCACGAGTACCTAACATTTTCCCAAGTGTGGTGAAGAAATTTGACTCGTTTTACATACAGTGAGTAGTGCGAGCGAGGTACATATTTTCTCGCACGCCTTCCTAAAAATCTAGGGCTTATTTAAGGTGAGTGGGGACACCGAGTATAACAGACTCAGCCTTCTCTCTCCTCTTCCGACCGAGCTGAGTTCTTAAGCTTCGGTTAATCTTTCCGGCAGCATCTCCGGCTGAGGTACTTCCTCGTGTCCGATTACACATGACAATTAATAGCTGCACAACTTTAATTGATTCAAGAACTTTCGCCAAATGCATCGAGTTTGCTTTTCCTTTCTTATGTGCATATGCGTATGTTTGACTAGTGCTTTCGTCTTCTTAAGTTGGAAATGTTCTTATCAAATTAAACGAATGAATTCACCGGCAGGCACATACATGAGGTATATTTGAACTGTGTAGATCAAAATGATTTCTTTAAATATTTGAACTGTGTAGGTTCGTTAATTCAATGCGTTGCTTTATGTCGAACCAACTAGATTGACAGAAAATACTGAATGTTCTTCATGTTTTGAAGGTAAATGTCTAGGAATTTAACTGTGCTGGTTGACTTCTCTCATATTTAAAGGACATGAAGTTTGAATGTAATGTTGTATGTAAGTTTGAAGTCGAGAATATGACTTTGAAGGATGTTATCGGTGGCATATTAATCCGTCATCCTGCAAATTTAGGTGCAATTTACAAAACTCGTGATGCGCTATATGTTTGTATGAACTATTCAATGAAATCAGGGAAATAAACGAATTGTAATACAATAAGTTAATGAAAATTATTTAGGCTGCTCAAGTTTGTGGCCGGAGATCATTTTAGTTCCTCAGTAGCATTCAGAGCTGGAGAAAACTGGAGAAGAAAAAAGTTTTTCAGAATGATTGACAAACAGAAATTGGTATGATCTGTATGGCGATGTTTGACAATTCAAGTCAGGATCTTCTTTTATTAATCATGTCTTCTACTCAGATTTCCAAATGTTCTGTGCTCAACTATTACCTTCATAGGACACAGTAAGGATGCTATATTCTGCAGGTTATAATCTCCTCTGTCTGTAGGGTCAATATTAGAGCTTACCAGAGAGTAATCCTATTGTATGGAAAGCCAATCGCATTATCTAGCAAAAAATTGCAGTAATTAATATTCTTAAGTTGACACAGAATCTATGTCACACATGGTTTAAATGCAAAAGAGAGAAGATCATGTTGGTGAATTACTGAGCTCCATTACTACAGGTGGTATGAAGAGACATATCAATAGTATCAGTTGACACAAAGGTTTAATTTGGACCTTCTCAATAAGCATGTTCTGCAAATGTGCTGTTCCATGTTATTTCTACCTTGTTGAAAAGGTGGTTATGAGAGGTTCACTAGTGGTTGTTGTAGCTTATATTATCATGTAAGGTTCTGATGGCTGACAGAATACACTAATCAAGGATCTGTCCCACTAGTGAAGTTTTATTTGTGCAGTCTTGGTTATTCATGCCATTGTTTAACCCTGCTATGCAAATTCTGATTGGTTCATTTCTGTTCGAGGTTGTTGATGTA